CTTCAATTTTACTTGAAAAAATTGATCTTGTAACTACTAGTAGTTCAACAATCTGTAGCATATTACATTGGGACAATCTGTTGCTTCAAACAAACATGTATTTCTCCTAGAAATGAAAACGACATCTCTAAAATTATAATCAAGATTGTGTATAATAACTTTGTAATTTTATAGAATCAAATCACATTATTATGAGTTAAATTTTCGTGGCAGACTGGAATTACTGCTCTTTACTTGGTAAAACGTCAAAATCTTTTTCATCTATTTGTTCTTTATATATATATATATATATAATGTGGTCCTACCCTTTGGTATGGTCTACAAATTAAGCAAAATATACGTATGACTTACCAAACCTTGACTTCTCAAAATTTGTAATTCATCGGTTTGATTTCACGCAACAAACTTTTGTATTATTTTAGTATATTTTGAGAAAAAATAAATTAATTTTGTATTCAAATATTTTTATCTTTACACAATCATATTCAATACACAAATTATTTTATTTCATTAGGAGAAAAGAAGTGACTTGTGGAACTTTTGATTTTTAGGTAAATATTCAAGTAAGAATATTAAAATTCGAACGTTACGAGGGTTAAGTTCAAATAATGTGGGTCCCGTTTTGGAGAAGAAAAAGACAACGTTTCACTTGGCCGAAGTCTAAAGAAAGTCGAGAAATCGAAGCACTTGGCCTAAATTTAAAAAAATGACACCTTTAGCTTCTTCTTACTCTATGAGTGGCCTTTCTTAAACAACGTGTATCGCTTTTTTTACATTTGAATTTCAAATTTAAATGCTGAGATCCAAAAACAGAGAGACAGATAAGAGCCATAAAAAATCATTTTTAAGTAACGGCACAATAATTATTCTGTTGATTTTTTCAGGTTCCATAGCAGACTGATGATGGAAGATTCAGCTTGTCTTATACATGCTTTCTCTTATGCTTCTGCTATACCCAATGAAATAAAACAGGTATAAATAAATAAATAAAAAACTGTTTTATTTTTCAAGATTCTTGTGTTTCTTTTTCTTTCTTGCTGATTTTTTGGGATGGAATTGAGTATTCAGGGAAACCCTGTGCATGCACTTGGGGAGTCAATTTCTTTTGGGAGATTTGTGTCTGAGTCTTTAGATTGGGAAAAATGGTCAACTTTTTCTCATAAAAGATATGTAGAGGAGGCTGAGAGGTATGCTAAGCCAGGTTCTGTTGCCCAAAAAAAAGCTTTCTTTGAAGCCCATTACAAGAAAATTGCTGCCCAAAAGGCTGCAGCTTTGCTTGAACAAGCCAATCAACAAAACCCCGATTCTGAAATTACCAAGAATTCAGCCCCTGATTCTACTTCACTTGTGAAACCTCATGTAGAAGCTAATCAAGAAGAGGTTCATGAGAACCCTGATGCTTTAACAACAGATTCCATGGTTAAGGCTTCTGTTTCAGTTGCTGATGTGGAGGAGATAGAGAGCGAGTCCCCAGTGGAGGGTCCAGGTACTCCTGAAGCTACAGAGAAAGAACCATCAAACCACATTGAGAATGGTGAAACCCAAGAAACAGTTTCTGAGATTAGTGAAACATCTCATACTGAGAAGCCTTTGCTGAAGACTAAGGTAAATATGTGTTCTTTAAACTACTTTGGCCTAGATTTTTTGAACTTCTTAATCATACCAATAGTGTAGGAAACTCTGGCTTCATGAAAAGTATAGTTAGTTTTCATGAGATGATTTATATAGATGACCCCAATTAGCTTGTGATAAAAACCTAATTGATCTATTGAATCGGTATGACAACAACATATCCAATGCAATCCCATAAAGTTGGGTTTGGGGAGGTCAGAGTGTTAGCAGACCTTACCCCATCCTCAGAGGTAGAGGTGTTGTTTCCGATAGACTCCTCGGCTCAAGAATAACCAGTCCAAAGCAGTTCATTGTATTGATTGATTCATATACTAATTTTTAATGCTATATGGTACTGATTCATCTCATGTGATTCCGCAGAGCTCCAGCTCTAAACTTGAGGATGATGCTGCATCAGTGACAAGCAAGAAAAAATCTGCTTTTTCTTCATTCAAATCAGCAGTCTACTCCAAAAAATCAAAATTTCCATTTCCGCCGACTAGGCATAGTATTCCTCTTGATGTCGATAAAGAGAACAATTTTACTCCAATCACAACTAATACTAACTTGGACTTGATGAATGAAATGAGATCAACCCCAAAATCTTTGAGCAAGTTGATCAACTTTACTCCTGCCAAAGAGCCACACAAGATACCTCCTCCACCTCCCTTCCTCAAGAAGGAAAGTTCAAAGGTTGCTCCCGCTACTAGCAAGGCATCTAAGCATTGTGCAACTCCACTTAAGACTCCTATGGTAATTTCCTCCCCTTGTTTAAACTCCTTTGTCAAAATGATAATAGTCTTTCTTGGTTTGCCTAATGTTTGCTTCACTTTCACCTGCAGGCAACATCAAATGGTGCATCAAACCATCCCATGACAACGCCATCTTCAGAAAGCAGAAGGTATATTTCCCTATATTGTCTAATTAGAATTGTTAGCAAGCATTTCATTGATTCCATTAATACATGGTTCTTTGGTTTTTTCCCACCTTCCCCACTCGAATTCTTGTATCTTCGTATTTACAGGATTAAAACACCGATTCATCCCACAGCTTCAGGAAGTATAACAGCAGGGCCTAAATGGAACATTTTGTCTTCTGTGTAAGTGCCTATTACATGATGACCTTAGATTCTAGCATAATCATTTATACATTTGAATGAATAGTAGTAGAGTGTTTTCGCTTTACGTTTAAAAACTGCTGGTTGAAGGTTCAAGCTAAGTGTAACCAGGCTCTGTCATAACTCAAAATAGGTATCTTTTAGTGGATACAGTTTGAGCACTTTTCCAGGACCAGGAAACCTTTTAAAGAGAATCTGAGAGACAGTTGTTTCTACTTGAATTTAGTTATCTTCCACACACATAAGTATGTTGGTGTGTGATGTGTCAAACTATCATGAACCAGGACAGTGATAATCTTCTTTCTGCAAGTATTTGATTATAGAGTATATAATTGCCTCATTGGATATCGCTTACCTTTGTTGTTCCTTGTTCAGTTCCAAGTCTTTCACAGCCTACCGAAACAAATTACAATCACCAACTTTATCCACTCCTTTCTCACTGAGAACAGAAGAAAGAGCTGCACGAAGGAAACAGGCAAGTGTATACATTAAATACTATGGACAATCTTCTTTTCATTATAAAAACTATTTCCACTCATACTTGTACTCCTGCAAATACTTACAGAAGCTTGAAGAAAAATTCAATGCGAAGGAGGAAAAGAAGGTTCAACAACAAACAACATTAAAGGTTCATTTCCTAATGCAAAACTTCCTTTATGGCTTGTCGAATGTTTTCTCTTTACCATGAATTCTGCACCACCTACTTTGAAAAGAAGGAAAACAAAGAAAAGTAGTGTGTGAACTTTGAGGTTTTCCACTCTGAACATTAGAGTAGAAACAGTACATAGCAATAGGTGCTTTTGCTCTTTCCACTAGTAATCAATTCTTCTTTTCGTCCATAAATTTGATTTTCATATGATTTCTTCTAATCACAAGGTAGCAGCTCTTCTTTATCATTTATAACGATCTAAAAGTTTCCAACATTGTAGTATTATGTGATATTTCCCGAAAAATATATGCAAATGATTTGCACTATCATTAGTAATATTTTCCTCATATGGTTTTCACTATCTTTTGTATTCTTGGGCCTCTAGAGTAGTTTTCCTCTACCATAATTTCTAATTTTCGAGTTACGTCTTAAATTGCAAATTCATAACGACAAGCTCTTGCTTGCAGGAGAAAGCAGGAACGGAACTTAGGAAACTTGGACAAAGCTTTTGCTTCAAAGCTCGTCCCCTGCCTGATTTCTACAAGGAAACAGAAACAGCAAAAGATCATGCAAAAAAGGTACACCACTACATCGTATTATATTTTCATGATTCAGATATTCCTAAAAACTACTTTTGTCAAAATGCCATAGTGGCTTGTTCAATGTTGATCACACAGTCCTACTACTATATTTTCTAAATATATGTGTGCCTATCTATCCTCTCCCTTCTCCGGCAGTGGTTCATATGGGTTTAATTTGGTGCAGATCCCAGTAACACAAGCTCCATTGCCCAAACGTGGAAGAATGCCATATCCCAGCTCAAAGCAAGGCTTAGTCTCGATGAAAAATGACTCTTGCAAGAATCCAAGAAAGAAGACTAGCTGAAAAAACTCACAAATCCATCACTCCTTGCAAAGAGTAGTGTCTTATTAGAATGTGTTTCAATTGGGTATTTCTTCCAAGAGAATGTTTTGGAGGTGTGTCTTTCCTTAATATGATTTAAGGAGAAGCAACTCCAAAATCTTGTATAAAAAGCTATCCAGACGTAAAATTATTTTAACCACAATCATTTACCTTTTATATTAACGTTCTCAAGTCAATATTGTCCTCATACATTCAAATTGCCTTTGCAGCTGTGATTTAAACTTAAAAAGTTCATGATTTTTCCTAGGCCACTATTTTGATGCAATTTTTCTTATTTAAGTACATGCCATTCTAGAAATGAATCCTAATCGACAAACTGGTTGAGGACAACACAGAAACGCAATGTAAAAACTGTGACGAAGCAATGAGTCAGTCGGTTGTGCGGTGCATCTTTTAGGATAACAATAAAAAAGTTGCCATGGGCAATCATTTTCTTATACGACACTATTATCTTTGTTGACATAATAAAAGAATTATAAAGATGCGCATATATATACTATACTTTATTAATTAAAATAAGAAAAGTAGTTAGCATCGAAATTGTAATTTTTTTTCTAACAGTATAAGGGTGAATGCAAATATATTACAAAGATGCAATGTCATCGAAATGTTCCAATTTATTTGACAGTAAATACAATTACAGAAATGTAACAATTTTTGTTCAACAGGTTAACACAAATACAGTTGGAAGGAACTGAATTAGATTCCTTCCACAACACACCAATCTTCATCTTCTTCAACATCTTCCCACACAAATCCCACCTCGCAGAAACTCATTTTTTCTTCATCGTTATCTTCAATCTCAACGCCGATCGCTGGAGACCCATCGGAGTCAACTACTAATTCCTGATCTCCGTAACCGTAATCTTCATCATAGTAAATTTCATGATCCATGTAATAAGAAGAATCGCTATCCAAATGATCCAAAATTCCAGTAGCTGAAAACCCTGAAAAATTGAACCCAGGCCTAGCATCCACAACTCTCCAAGTAACCAACGAAACGACGTCGCCGCATCCCTTTAACTTTTGTGTGCCCTTAGTTTTGTCCTTGGATTTTGCAGCTGGATGAACATGGCAGCTGGTGCACCTGGGTCTACCGCACTTGCCGGTGAACTTGGAATGGTTACTGGGCTTAGTTGGGACCTTTGCGAAAAGCCCAGCGGTTGGTGGTGAATTGGACTTGTTCATGTACCTGGGCTCGGGTCTTGGGTTCCATGGAGAGGGTAAAATTGGGTAAGTACGGACCATACCGTGTTGGCGACCTTCTCTCCTCATTTTTGAAGAATAAAATGAAACTTTTTCTCTACGAATAAAAAATTCAAAAAATGATTGATTTAGAAGATAAAAGTGTTTAACTGATTTGAGTATTAGCAAGGGAACCTATTTATAATATATAGCGTGTGAGGGGTGGGTGTGTCTTGGAGGTGGGAAAACTTGGGAAGCAAGGTGTTTCAATTAGTCAACTGAGGACATGTTCTTCTCTTTTTTGGGTGCGTGTCTTGCAAGCCTATAATTAACACAATTCCGAACAACACATAGCCACGTTGTAAATTAGGGCAAGTGTTAAATGGCCAGAATTGACAAAAATAATATGGTTAAGGGCACACTTTTTTAATAATCAGATTAAGTCCATTCGTCTTGATAATGCTGCAGAGTTTTCATCCCAATCATTTAATGATAATTGTTTAGCAATTGGGATAAGAGTTGAACAATCCGTTGCTCATATTCATATTCGGAATGGTCTCGCTGAGTCATTAATTAAGCGTCTGCAATTAATAGCAAGACTATTGCTTATGAAAACTAGGTTGCCCACTTTTGTATGGGGACATGCAATTTTGCATGCTGCAACACTTATTCGTCTCAGACCAACAAGTTATCATAAAGTTTCTCCATTGCAATTGGTTATGGGTCAAGAACCTAATATATCCCATCTAAGAATTTTTTGATGAGTTGTACATGTGCATGTGACACCACCAAATCGCACTAAAATGGGCCCTCAAAGAAGGTTAGGAATATATGTTGGGTTTGAGTCACCCTCCACTATTCGCTATCTTGAACCATTGATTGGAGATATATTTACTGCTTGATTTGCAGATTATCGGTTTGATGAGATATTTTTTTCCAAAATAGGGGGAATAGTGAAATAAAACGAGAAATTTTGTGGGAAAATGTATCATTGTCTCATCTTGATCCATATTCTTCTACATGTGAATAAGAAATACAAAAAATTATTCATCTGCAAAAAATTGCAAATAAAATGCAAGACGTATTTACAGATTTGAAATGGATTACTAAATCACATATTCCTGCAGAAAATGTTCCAATTTGAATTGATGTTCCAAAAGCACACCTAAAGCGTGGTAGACCATTTGGTTCTAAGGATCAAAATCCAAGAAAAAGAAAGATTAAATGTCAAGATAACACTATGAAAGAATCTCATATGGAAGTTCAAAATTTGAATAAGTCTGATATTCATGAAAGAATCAATGAACTTGAAACTCAAGGAAATAATGAACTATCCATAAATTTAAGAGATGTTGAAACTAATCCGAATCGATCAGAAATAGTGATTGATTATGTCTTTGCATATAATGTTACAACAAATGTCATGCAAGATAATGAGGATCATGAACCTCAATCTGTTATAGAATGTCGACAAAAGAAATGATTGGCCAAAATGGCAAGAAGCAATTCAATCAGAGTTGAATTCACTTGCCAAGCGTGAAGTTTTTAGACCTATAGTTAAACACCTAATAGTATTAAACCTGTTGGTTGCAAATGAATTTTTGTGCGAAAAAGAAAATGATACAAAGGTATAAAGTACGCCTTGTGGCACAAGGATTTTTTCAAAGGCCTAGCGTCGATTATGAATAGACATACTCACTCGTTATGGGTGCAATAACATTGCGTTATCTCATTAGTTTCACAGCCCATGAGAAACTTGAAATGCATTTGATGAATGTGGTTACAACCTACCTTTATGGATCACTTGATAGTGAGATATACATGAAAATTCCTAAAGAATTTGAATGACTAAATAATGTAACTCAAAATCTCGAGAAATGTATTCAATAAAATTGCAAAGATCATTATATGGTTTGAAGCAATCTGGACGCATGTGGTATAATCGTCTTAGTGAGTATTTAATTAATAAAGGTTACACAAATGATGCAATTTGTCCATGTGTCTTTATAAATGTCACGACCGGAATCTAGACCCCAGACGAGACCGGCGTCGTTGACCTCTCAGAGGTCGCAGACAAGCCTGCTTACGTCATTCTTACTTTACATAGATTAATTTTAGCGGAAAATTTGAAATTTTTGATTCTTTAATCATACTTGCTGAACATTCTTAACATTTCGTAATCGTTCATCATCAACCATCTAACATTTAAGAGATAAGCAACTGAAAGAAATAATTCATTAAGTATTAATTGTATATCGGCCAAAATAGCACCAATACAAAGTTTGAACCAAAACAGGAAAGAAACGCTAGTGGAACATGTTCCGCTAGCTCAACTCTAAAACTACGCTAGAATGTAAAACAGTAGCATCCTCGAAAGCATGAGGACCTACCAAACTCCGGATGAATACTGATGTCCGGATAGCTGCAACAACGAACCTGTAGCTCTAGCGTCCACCTGTGCCTGCACCTAAAAATAGATGTTCGTATGGAATTAGTACACACTTGTACTAAGTATGAGTATATGCAAGTACACACCAGGGACATGCATGAGGAAGAATAGCTCTTTCCTAACAACATGATTTTTGGAAGTCAAGTCAGTGGACTTGCCAAATTGAGATTGGGAAAGTTATGCCATGAGAGTGACATGCATCATTATAATTATCGTATAGCACACAAAACATAACATATTCATATAACACATAACATATAACACATACTTTCTTTCATATTATTCATTCGTATACCATGAGACCTTATTATCATAGACTTAACTTTAAGACTTTCCAAAATGAGGGCTCAACATATGGGACCTCAACTAGGGAGCCTTCTTTAGCAAACACAGAGTCTGCTTCACTCATTCATTCGTATTTCATTTCAATTCATTCATAGGCCAGTGCGAACACCAGCTATACCTAGGATGTAGTTTAAGACTTTCATCGGGTTTGCTGTGCAATGATCAGGAATGACCTAATGTCATTACCTGAATCTAGCTCACCTCTTGATTATCCTATCCTAACACCTTCGGTATCATTCATTTCTTTATATGATTCATTTGAGGCTGGCCTCATTCATTCATTGGGAACTTTAACTTTAACCGACATAGATCATGTGAGCATCATGAAATCCAGTGTCTTCCCCACACCGAAAAGAGGTGAAATCACCGGCCAAAGCGATTCAAATAACATGCTAGCGTATATGGGAATTTAACCCCGCCAGATCCCTATAGTGGCAATATAGGTTCAAAGACTAGGAGATGTGTGGAGACCCATACCCGGCAAGCCGGACAGTCTCATCTCATGAGAATTACGTGAACCTCCGCCCTTCCCGAAAGAAGGCATCACCACTCATAGCTAGCCTATCGGTGCTCGGTATAAAGTTCCATTACATGCAACTCATACATCATAGAAGTTTGCTTCTAGTATGAAGACATCATAGCTCAATAGATGATTTCTCATCTCATCATTAGTATTAAGTGTTTTAAACTCAATATTTTTATTAGAGTATTCATAGAGACTGGTCTCTTCATTATCTTACACTCTCATTGGTGAGTATGTATCGGTAACATTTACTTAAGCTCATTTAAGATTGCTCTCATCATACGCATTAACCTCACATCATGATTGTCACCACATTCTTCATTTCATTACGTATATCTTAGGTTCACTTATTCTTGAACGTATGTTAAACTTATATATCTATACATACAAGCCATGAGGCTTCATTTATAGTTCGTTAAGTGAATTCTTGTTTTTCTAAGATTATGTATTACAAGACTTATGTATCTTGTATATATGCCAAGATCTTTGATTTTTGATCTACGTAGATGACATTATTCTTGAATATTTCACTCACGTATGACTTATGTATCAATACGGAGGTTTGGACACGAGAACCCAAATTTTGAATTATTTGGATATCATTTATATTTTTCATTGATTTTTGTTCTAATATTCATAAATTTAGAACTCTAAGTTAAGTCTCAACATTTTCGTGAAATAATAAATTTTCTATTTTAATTAGAATTCTAAATTAAATTTCAATCATTTACATGAAAGAATAATTTTCTAATTTAATTAGAATTCCAATTTAAATCTCAATATTTACATAAAAGAATTAATATTCTATTTTTAATTAAAATTCTAAATTAAATCTCAATGTTTACATAAGAGAATTAATTTTCCAACTTTAATTAGAATTTTAATTTACTATTATTATTATTTTTAATTAAATTCGCTTGAATAGGGAGGTTGTGGGTTCGAACCCCCACAGCCCCCTTATTTTTCCTCTCATTTTCGCTGAAGAGGAGGCTGTGAGGTGGTGGGTTCGAACCCCCACAGCCCCTCTATTTTTTTTTTAATTCTTTGACATCCAAAAATTTCCAGATTCTTTTTAAACCTATTTCTATGTTTTTGGAAATTTATTCCACTATTTTTTCTGCACTTTTTCATCAAGTTTCACATTAGTTCTTAGGGAGATTTCATGGTTCATTCACTTCACTATGCTTCATCAAAATGAACATCACATTGCACACCCATTTCACACATAAAATACATGATAAATAAACAACTTATATACCCCAAAACAATGCCTAAAACACTGCCCTATACACACCCATACATCAACTTTTTCCGGTCATATTCTGATGATCATTATCGCGATTTCCCGCACATAAACACACTCATATTTAATTTAAACACATCATTCATGCAAAAATCTAGCAGCACAACATACCCATCCTACAAATTCATTAGGGAGCTAAGGACAAGGACATACGAAGGGGAACAACCTTAGTTTCAAGAGTTTAAGAAACGTCCGAAAGAAAGTACTCTTGGAGAAAGAATTCCATGAGAGAAACTCATACCTTAATCGATGTTCAAACTTTAATGTTGCTGCCCGGAAAACTCCTCCAAACCACTCCCAATTCACTTCAAAGTATACCTCTCTCGACGAACCTCTCTTAGCCTTGACGTTTTGATTACTTTTTCTTTTGCTTAAAAAATTTTTTTGTGAGTTCTTCAAGCATGAAAATTATTGATATTTTGGCAGAAATAATGTGAGGAAGATGGAGAACGTGAGAGAGGGAGTTTAGA